TTCCTAAGCTTCATCAGCTGAAAACAAAATTGTTGTGAAAATGATTCCAATAATATCGTTCCTCTGTGACGGACGGTATTATGGTTGTGGTGTCACCTACTATTCTTTTAAATTTAGAATGATTTTTAAAATTACTTCGTTACCCAGTTCATTTTATTTGTAGAGCACATATACAACAGCCACCAGGCTGACCAAAGTGCTTTCCAGAAGAGCAACAATTTTACCACATACACAGAGAACAAACCAGACAAAAATTTAAAACCGCACGTTTAAAAATGACCATATCACAGTAGTCAATACACTAAGGAAAACAAATAAGTTTTTAGCAAGGACTTAAAAACAGACAAAGAAGGGGCCATTCTAATCTCTAAAGGTAGGGTATTCCAGAGTCGTGGCCCTGCCACCGCAAATGCACGCTCCCCTCTACGCTTAAGCCTAACGTGAGGGACCACCAACAAGGCCTGGTCACAGGATCGTAGGCTTCTAGACGGAGTATAGAAGTAAAGAAGGTCAGATAGATAGACAGGAGCTTGGTTATGTAGGGATTTATATACAAAGAGGAGAATTTTAAAGTCTATTCTCTGACAAACCGGCAACCAGTGTAGAGATCTAAGAATTGGAGTGATGTGTTCATGTTTACGACACTTTAAAAGAAGTCTGGCCGCAGCATTTTGGACAAGCTGAAGACGCGCAATACTATTACTATTACAATACTATTCGTTATAGTAATATTAAAACATTTCGTGGTTGAAATCCAGTCATTTTGTTATGAATCCACACAATCTATGAATTTTCAAAAAAGCTCCTACGCGTCATTAGCTGAAAAAAAAATCATGAAAGTGATTCCAATAATACCGTTCCTCTGTGACAGTATTGTTATAGTTGTGGTGTCACCTCTACTACTCTTTTAAATTTAGAATAATTTTTTAAATGATATCACTTTATCGTAATAGTGCTAATATTTATTTTTTTAATTGCAGGGGAAACCCAGTTGTTTCAATAGGAATCTGTGCGATCGCTTGTGTTGAAGTTCACGCGAATTCGTTGACCAACAAAAAGCTGCTTGCTTTGAAAGTGATTTCTTTGTGAATGGTGCCTTTTTTTTTTGTGCCTTTTTTAACGTGACCACACCTTTCAAATCCACACAGAAACCAAAGTACCCATATGGCAGCACTCTAAAAACCAATCAGAAAACTTTAGCAACACCATGGCAACTAGCCATGACACTCTGCACATGCAAACACCACTCAAATTACACAACATTATATTAACAAGTTTTGTTCAACAGCAGGAAGAGAGAGATGGATTAGCTCTTGTTTTGGCATATTTGCAATATACCAATATACAATATAATTTCTATTCACAGAATCCCAACCATGGGAAACCTGTTCCCAACAAATCATTCCGACCACCTCAAGCAACTACTATGAGACTCCCTACTCAGATGTTCAATCCTTTCAGAATAACACAGCTCTCCCAGACCAGCAACTCTACACTACAGGTAACAAAGTTGTTGTTTTTTCGGCCATAACTTATGGAAAAAATATAGCACAGACACTGGACAAAGAAGCTTAGCTTTCTAGAGTGCGTCGCGCATGCTATCAAATAGCTTCCAATACTTTGAAAGGCTACACATTTGACCGTACGCATATGCATATAAACGCATAAAAAAACGAAGAATACTTTTGACATAACAATCAGAAGGCCGTAAGCAGATTGTACGAAAACATTTTTCAGGATTTCATAAAACTGCCACAAATTCGCTAAAACATAAAATAGTTACGAATAGCCATGCAAAGGTCTTGGTTGTATTTGAAACACTGACATTGTCTGTATCGAGAATATTGCATATGTAATGTGGCATTTCTAAAGGCTGTATCATTCTCACATCAAGAACGATAACTATAACGATATCTGTATTAGCGTCCACATCGACACCTAATAACATTGTTTAAATTAAGCATGCACTGCAGTTTTGTTGTATACCTCTTTAAATGCTCAAGCTCTTTAGATGGATGGATTCTGATTGGCTGTCAGTGTTTTTATTGTTCATCAGCTGGAAAAGCTGTGAAAAAAGATTCCAGTGATATTGTTCCTCTGTGCCGTTATCGTTATAGTTGTAGCGTGGACTGTGCCTTTCTTTCAAATTTTGAATGATTTTTAAAACTATCTATGTCCTAAAATGTTACTTCTAGTGCAGCAATTGAACCTTCCAGCTCTCTGTGACCTGGAGATCTCGATCAACTACAGAAGAACAGAAGTTTTGAAAACTCGCCTGTGTTCACCACTCGTTCAGTTTCACTACCAGTGCGACCCATCTGAGCTGAGAGGACAGCCAATCCGCTTCCCATCCACTGAGGGTCTGATCGACCAAAAACAGATCCAGTTCACTAAACGCATACTGGACAGCATTCAGAGAGGCCTGCAGCTGGAGGTAAACCAATATGGCATCTACGGCTTCCGTCAGGATAAGTGTAAAGTCTTCGTCAGCACCAGCGACCCGTCTGAGATCCAGAACCCAGAGCCTAGAAAACTGCATCAGAACACCAGAGAGCTTCTACTCAGCTTTGATAAGTACATAAGAGGTATGAATGATGAGAAAGGAATAATTTTTGACATACAGGAAGTGACATCATTGGGTCCTTTTCTACACCATGGCAAAAAGACAAAAAAAAAAAAAACATTCTATTTTCTTCCATTTTTTTTTTACAAATTTCAGCATCCTTCGACCCTGTTACCATAGTAAATTAATTTATGGAAAATACATTAATCACTAACTAAAAAAGCATTTGGTCCCAAACTAGCTAACACCTTCTGAGTGACAGATTTATTTATGGGAAAGCACTGTATGCAACCCTGTTACTCAATTTGGCATTATTTTGAAATTAATTTTATATTATAAAATGTATAATACAATCATTTAAAATAACTGTTAAACACTTCCTTTCACTGACAATGTCAAAAAAAAAATTTTTTTTAATTTAAAAAACTTGCATTTGCAACCGTTACCATGATTGTTCCTCATTACAAAAACAGAATATTTGCTAAAATTGTGACATTTAGGAAGTGACATCATTGGGCCCTTTCTACAGCATGGCAAGAAGACAAGTAAAAAATTTCATTCCGTTTTTGTTTTTCTCCCAACTTTTTCACAGATTGCAGAATTGACTACTTAGCCTTCAACCCTGTTATCCTATATATTTTGGTGAAAAATAAATATTTTTCTTTAATTTATTGAAAACATGTTTATCACTAACTACAAAACCAGACTTTGGTCCCAAACTAGCTAAAACCTAATGAGTGACAAATTAATATATGTGAAAACTTGTATGCAACCCTGTTACTCAAGACAGCCATTAAAAATTATTAAACTTAATCCTTACATAAAATAAATGTATAATATAATATATAAATGTAAAATAATTATAACTCCTTTCACTGAAAATTGAAAGAAAAAAAAAACTTGCACTTGCAACCCTGTTACCATGATTGTTCCACTTAAGCATGGCGGGAAGACAAGTTAAAAAAATACACACACACACACACACACACATATATATCCCATTCCAATTTTTCAGCCTTTTCACAAATTGCAGGATTGACTGCTTAGCCTTCAACTCTGTTACCATAGTTATTGTGTGGGGGTGGGAATTAATTTCTTTCCATGCATTTCTTTAATTTACGGAAAATGTGACAGAATTGTTTACCAAATGCTTAACAAACTTCAAATTCATGCTTTTAAAGCCTCATGTAGACTTTACTCATTGAGTTCCATTGTAAGTGCAAGTGTTTTTCCTTTGTTTTTACAAACTTTTCTGTTGTAACGGAAAGCATGTTATAAATGCTGTCCTGACGTTCAGTTAAAAATAGCCCAGAACAACCGTAGCTGTAATTTGATGCGTGTTTCCATTCTGACTCAGATATCAATTTTTTTTTCCAGATCTGATGGATTTTAAAGAGAACAGACGGGGTTCTCCAGATTACACCATCTACCTGTGCTTCGGAGAGAAGCTTCCGGATGGAAGACCACTGGAGAGGAAACTGATCACTGTCAAAGTAAATATCGCAAACAAAAACAGCAACACATTTTGAGTCGTTTTGTTTGCGCTTCATTATAACGTATCTTTTCCATCTCCACAGGTTGTACCTCTGATTTGCCGTGAATTTCATGAGAGAGCTCAAATGGAGGGAGCGTCCTCTCTTCGCAATGAAAACATTAGCTTGCAGATCTCCCACAACAGCCTTTTTGACCTTATAAATTCTTTGGGTCTGCCTTCAGTGGCCTAAAGCAGTTGTTTTCACCATGAAATCAGCCAGCTAACATTCCTTTCCACACACACAGACATATACATACATATATATATATATATATATATATAGAGAGAGAGAGAGAGAGAGAATTAAATTTTGTCACTGTTATACTTCAGCACAATGCAAACTGACAGAACTTTCCCGAGGTGATTTCCGTGGGGCATTCAAAGGTCTTGTAATTGCTCTGAATTCATTGCTGGTCGCTCTACCGTTTAATAGCTATCTCAATGAAACCGTATTGTTCAAATTACCCAACACATTGTCTTTTTATTTTCTAATGAGAGCTAGAGTCTCATTTTAATATCCTGTCTTCTAGTGAAGAATTTTTCACCTTTCGCCGAAAGGGCTGCACTTGTATCACTTCTCGTCTGTCGCTTTATGAATGTGATATCTAGAAAGTTTGGTATCATTAAATGTACTATTATTTAAAAACTACTGTTTGCTTGTTATGGGTGTTGTTTTATTAAATGATGCTGATGCCAATACCTAAAGATGGACTATGTATAAAAATGTTATGCATATAAAACCTAATAAACATATACAAAATGAAATATTTTGTTATTAATATACAATGTAATACTTTTAAATACACACACACAGACACACTTGTGTATTTAAATCTCAAGACGGCGAATAAAATACAATTATACAGCACATTTCATTAATAAACATTTTCAAAATTCCTGCTAACTAAACATTATTTCCAGAATATATTATTTATTGTACGTTAATCATTCAATATTCACCCATTTTTGGACCGTAACACAAACATACCCCCTTAGGAAACATGCCAAAGGATTTTCATTTAAATTTTTATTAAATAAAGGGTTTAATAAAATTATTTACAAAGACAGCAATATGGATGCCTCAACTCACATCACGAATTATGTATTCTGTGACTGCTTGGATTCATATGATAAAGCTCACTCAGGTTAAGAGATCAGAATAATCTCTCTCAAGTCTGGAAATGAATCAGCTCGATGCGATTTGCCACAGGAAAACAGGCCAAACGTTCTGCACGCCTCACCGTGAGATGCAACTCAAGTTACATGATCAATTCAGAAATCTTACAAACATTTCTCAAGCTATTAAAATGACATAATTAGTGAAAGGGGTTCAGAAAAAAACCCTTATGAAATACACTTTTAGCTATCAACTTTTCTAATTAATACTTTTCATTGAAACTTTAGAAGTGCATAAAGAAATGGTTCATTATTTTATAGGCTGAATGTCGTTTGTAAGCATGTCGTCCACAAACAGAAAAAAGAAAACAACAGTAATCAGGAAAAACAACTGGCAAACATTCAGCCGGCAGCTTTTAAAATGAAAACGGTCACATTTCAACGAACAGAACAGATCAATTACAGCCGTTCACGTGTGTCATGAGAGAACCTTATTATTTCTCTATTTACAACAAAAGCATTTCAATGAGGGTGAGGTCTACTGCAAGTTTTCCTGTTTTACCTATATTAGTTCACAAAACGATTTTAAAGAACCAAATTGAGTCTCATAATGACTGGATATCAGAAAGATATTTGTAGTTTTCTGAGAGATCACAGAACATCCCAGAGGATCTTCTGCACCTTGTTCCTCAACATAATGCTTATATTCTCATTAACCACAAAACAATTACTATGCTCTCCAGTGTCAATTATTCATGGTGGAACGACAGGTTCAAGAGTATTGTGTGTGTATATATGACGTATACATACACACAAACGTGTGTCTGACAATGCAAGAGCCTTTCTGACAACTTAAGCTTCCTGTTGGATCATCAGCTTAAAATAGCATAGTATTCAACACCCTCTTGAAGAGGGTGCCGTTTTGAACAGTGGCAAACGTAAAGATTTTCAACCCATTCTGTATCTGGACACTTCCAGATGATCTTTATATTCAAAAGAAAACATACAAACATTCAAAAAGATTAATTTGATAACTGATGAAAAGATGTTCAGCCCTTAAGAGTTTCCCATGTCATTATAGAAATGCACAGATTAAAAAAAAAACATCCAAATCTACTGTTGATCACCATTATATATAAGATACCGTCTGAAAAGCATGTAGCCGTTACCCTCGGGCTCACATTGGAGTTTGGGAGTCTTTCGGGACGTCTGCCTGTTGGATTTGCCCAGTTTCCTCTTTCTTGTGTTTTCTTGCATGTTTATACTTATCCACATAGGCTTTGACCAGGTTGGCTACTTTCACCGGGTTAATCTCCCCGCTCTTGCTATGACACACCTTGGGAATGAGACAAAGATGATATGAATGGGGTCATTTTCACATGACAACATGATAATGATTTCATAATTCACTTAAAGTCCCCCTGTAGTCAAATATTTAATCCCTTAAAACCTATCTTTGATCATCAAAATGACATATTTAAATGTTTTTTCTTGTGAAAATAATTCTCATTCAAGCTCAAAATAGCTTGAATGCAGCTCTACACCTTGCCTCATTTACTATACGCGGATCTATGAATATGCAAATTAGTCCCGCCTTAAACAACATAAAAAAATTTATTTTCACTACAGGGGGACTTTAAGAAATGGGCCATTGGAGTGGAGGGAAACAAAATAGTATTTGCATATGCAAATGTGCTCGTCACAGGTGTTTACTTCGGTCATAACACGCCATACAAGGAAGTGGATATAGAAAAACAACCACAAAAGATGGTCACGCAATTACCTTCTGAACGGCTTTGCGCAAAATCTCTTTGTACTCTTCCTTCGTGATGTCTCTTTTCTGGTAGAAGGGTTTTATGGCCAGTTTGACCTCCTCTATTGCTCGCTCTTGCATATGAAGTTTCATCATGTACTACAGAAAGACAAACAATGTTTACAAATTCATGACATCAAGTCAATGCAATGAAAAATGAGATAGTGATATGACGTAATTGTGCCCTAGTCACCTTCTCTGTCTGATTGGGGTCGTGTAAAACTTCTTTGTGGGATTTTGGTTTGATGGATTCATCTTGGGGAGGCAGGCTGGAGACCGATGCCATGCATTTTGGTTCAGCCTGAGAGGAAGCTTTATCCTTTAATATGAAATAATATGGTAGTACTGAAGTACCCATAACAGCACTCCAAACTGTCTGAGATAATGAAAATTCCCATAAAATGTTCAAAAGATTTGTGAGGTGTCTCAACTTCCTGTGCTCTGGGATTTCCCTGACGGGAATGTGAAGTAATTTATCAAGCACAGATTTGTTGCATCTGAATGATTTTTTATCTTTATTTTAATTAATTATATTATGTAGCTGATGATTGCAAAACATCACAGAAACAATCAGCGTCAACTGCTGAAAATAAACATAACCCTCATAAATCATGGTAAACTTGTTTTTGTCTGGGACACTCCAGAGGAGGATGCAATTTCCAAGAGTGATGTTAACTTTCATTTCTTCTGAAGTGAAGCCTTATATGGCTGCTTTCAGTTTCGATCACATGGGTACAATAGAAATTGCATCAGCATTATTTTCACCTCCTCCAGAGAGCAAGCTGCAAATTATGAATGCAAATAGTGACACAATGACACCCTCTGGTTGCTCAAAGCAACTACATATGACGGGCAATAATTATGATATGCACTGGTATCCAAAATCGTTTCTATTAAGAGTGGAGAAATTTCAAATGACAGTCTCGTATTAATTTTTGTGTTATTAAAATTCTAAAACTTATCTAAAAACTTTTAGATATCAATCCGCATACGTGATGGACACTGGTAATGATCATTTTCGTTATCTCCTTTTTTAAAAACACAATCAAAGTCAATGTGGTTTACATTGCACATTAACAGTCTTCAAAATATCTGTTGTCTTCCAAAGAAGTCATGCAAGAGTGAACCTCAAGCTAGAAAAAAATCGAAGTTAAGAAAATTGACTATGTTAAATGGTGGTGTGGGGGGAATCTATCTTTTTAAGACACTGTACCTGATTCTGTGGGGTTGTAGCAGACCTTCGTGACCCTTCTTGCTTGAGTTTTAATTTGAAGAGTGCAAGTTCTAAAAGAGGCATGGGAAAACATTCAGAATATTTTAACTAGTTTTCAAAAACATTTTAGTTTTATGTTACCTGAATGCTTCACACTAAATCTGCTGTGACTGAAGTCATTTAGGGTGTGTTCACACTTGTCATGTTTGGTTCGATTAAAACGAACCCTGGTGCGATTGCTCTGTTAGTGCGGTTCATTTGAGTAAGTGTGAACGCTGCCACTGAACCCTGGTGCGCACCAAACAAGCGGACCGAGACCACTAAAAGATGGGTCTCGGTCCGCTTCCAAACGAACTCGGGTGCGATTTGAATTAAATATGAACGCAACACGAACCAAATACTTCTAAACGAACCAAAAACAAGATGCGACGCTATGCGACATGATTTGACGATGGTGTAACCAAAACAAAATGAGCAGAGGGCAAACGTGGAGCAACGATGAGGTAAAGTGCCTTTTATGAGCTCGTGAGCTTGCAGATGGTGAAAATAAAATTATATGTACACGCAAGAATGAGCGCACTTAGTTCAGCAGACGACATTAGGTGTGTTCGAATTAAAGCAGCGCTGAGTGGACCGATCGGTTAATGGGTGTTTTGATATCATACACCCGCAGCGCCGCTTTAAGTCTAACGCACCTTTTGTTTGGGGTGTTCGGTGAGTTCCGTCAGGATATATACGTCATTCAAGCCGACCAATCAGGTTGTGAACGTATCACTATGCCTTTAGGTTCGCTGTCAAAAATGCCAATGTGAACACTAAGCGGACCAGGACCAAATGTATCATTTTCCTTTTTGGTCCGGACCAAATGAACCAAACGAACCGAACTACAAGTATGAACACACCCTTAGTCATTATCTCAATAGTTGCAGAGTTTGTTACAGACCAGGGGTGTCCAATCCTGAAGGGCCACTGACTTTCAGAGTTCAGGTCCAACCTTAATTAAACACACCTGAACCAGCATTAAACATCAAATGCTGGGTCTCATTTCGAAGGCTGAATTTGTCCGGAGACTAAACTTCCCAGACAAGTGTGTTGGGTTAAGCTGGAGCTTAACTAAGGGTGTCCTATCCTGTTCCTGGAGGGCCACTGTCCTACAACCCTAATTTAACTCATCTGAACCAGCTGATCAAGTTCCTCAGATACACAAAAAACTTCTAGGCAAGTGTGGATCTGGTTGGAGCTGAACTGTGCAGGACATGGGTCCTCTAGGAGCAGGATTGGACACCCCTGGTCTGTAATGAACAACTGTAATGCAACTATTGAAACCATCTAAAATTCAGACTTGGTGTGAATAGGGAGCAAAACTAAATGGGTCAAGTCAAGACGTTGCAGCGAAAAAATGTTTACTCACTGCTTAATTTCTCAGACTGGGGTTCCGCTGGTTCCTGCAAATTCCAGGTAACTCGTTTTCCCTGCGATTTAGATTTTGCACCAGGTGTAACTGTTTCGGTAGTTTGTTTATTCTCTGCTGGAGCCTCTGGCATGGCAGACTTTGGATCGGCAGCTTCTGTTGAGTCGGCCACAGAGCTCTCACTCATTTCCTTCTTAATGAAGTCTAAATTATCAATCAAGTAATCAACACTGATATCTTCATCGGAGGAAACAACAGGTTCTTGTTTTATTGGCAGGTCTGGCGGCTGAAGAGGTGACATCTCCATGTCCTCCTCCAAAAGTGGCGAATGATAAGACTCAGTGGGTTCCTTTTTACAGTTCACTGCATCTATGTCAGCCATATCCAAATTGATGACAAGAGGGTTGTCACTGCAGCTTGGTGAATCATCTTCATCAAGCCATATTTTTTCAATTTTTATCGTTTTTGGCTCAACAACCATTTCTTGTCCTTTCATCTCATCCTGTAAGCTAGCATGGCTCTTCTCTAAATCAGCACTGCCTGCTTTAATTTCATTAACATTTGGTGATTCCGTGCTGAAGATGTCTAAAGATGCCACCTCTTCTTTCTCCATCTCTTTAACACCATCTAATTCTCCACACAAGTTGAGACAGACTTCGTCCTCCTTTTTGATGTCTTTCAACTCCTTGACAGAACCAGTGGGCCAAGGTTCCTCCTGTTTAATTTCATTAGGCTTAAGCAGCTCAAGTGAAACATCATCCTTGCTTTCTTGAAGTGTTCTGATTGGGTCATTATGTCTTGATGACCCAAGTCCATGAGCCGTGATCTCAACTTTAACTGATGGTAATGCAACAGTTGTCTCACACTCATGTGGTCTCGCATCTCTCTCTGTCTTCACAGGCGTTGTAATCTTGTTTGCACTAAGATCAGGCTCATGTAATTCAGTGGACATGGGCTCTGTAGACTTATGGGAGCTCCTTTCTGTACGCCGAGAGATCTCGGATCGATCCTCCCGCCATTTACGCTCCCTAGATGTTGATCTTGACTTCTGCATCTTTAGCCTAGTCTCACCCTGATCCTTTGATGTTCTCCTCCTTTCTTTGGATCTTGATCTAGAAAATGAATGAGATCGGGAGTGCCTTCTTTCTTTAGACCGCTTCCTATGTCTTTCTCTCCCTCGGCTGTCATTCCTCTCATGACTCGCTCTTCTCCCACTCGTCTTCCTTTCTCTACTGCTGGAACTCGAGGAACACCTCCGGTCTCTTGATCGCGGACGTTGCCTCTCTTTCGATCTTGAGTGGAAATGCTGCCTCTCTTTCGAACGGGATCTCCGCCGATCCCTTGACTTTGAGCGTGACCTCCTCTTTTCTTTTAACTTTGAGTGTTTCTTTTTATGGGAGTCTTTAGATGAAAAGCTTTGAGAGTTTGATGGTGGCCGCTTCCTATCCTTGGACTGGGACTTCTGAGGTCTTTCCTCCTTGTCCTTAGTGGTTTTAGAAGAATTAAAAGCACCACTGACTGAAGGCAGCTCTTTACACACCCCATTTCCTTTATAAGCTTGTTGTAGATTGGCTAGAGACTCTTCTAGTGACTTTGATTGGGGCCTTATGGGTGGAGGTCCAGTCTCAGGTTCAGACTTCACCTCAACATTTTTTTCACTGCATGACGAGCTTGAACTGGAGTGCTCTTCAGTTTTCTGAAAAGGGCTTCCTGGAGTTCCACCACTTCCAGTATCCATGCCTGCTTCGCATCTAGTTGAATCCAAAGCAGGACCTCCTGAGGGAGATGGACTATGCATTGTGTCTGAATGATGTCGAGATTCTTTGCACGGTCTGTCCCACAAAGATTCTGGCTCCATTTTAACTTCTTCACACATTTCCAAGCCTCTCTCTGTATCAGAGTGTACATCCAGAGGCTCAGATTTGATTGGATGACAGGCTCCAATTGGCACCCGAGGTCCAGTATTTTGGACGCCAACATCAGGACCCTCATTTTCTGGTTCATTATCAGAGGAATCAGACCCTGTAGGGTTAAAGGGATCATAGACCTCACTCTTCTCCTCTTTGGCTTTTGCTCTTAAAGACAACAGCATCTGTTTACTTTTATTATTCCTCTTTATTGATTCATCATGACCTCCAGGCAGAGTCCCTCCTGATGCAGGAAGTCGCCGAGCTTGCCAGGGGTTTCCGCTAGTGTTTATACGGAAACTGACAGAAGAAGAGGAGGGGCGTGAGTTTGAAGAGGCACTAAAAGATGATGTAGTAGAGGTGAAAGAGCTAGAAAATGATGATGAAGCACCAGTTTTGTCTGCTCTTTGCCTCTGAGCATCCACCGTCCTGTTTTGCTGACTCGCACCTGTACCTTGTTGGTCAACGGTACGTTCCCTTCCTGTATTGCCTGCTAAGCTGTTCGCTGAAGACCCAGGCAAAGTACTGCTACTGCTGCCACTGTTACTATTTGCACTGGAGGTACTGTCCCTTTTAATTTTTGGTATTCTTGGCAATACAGAAACATCCACCCATACAGGCTTAGGAGGGGGCTTTTTGACAGGTGGCTGTCGGAAAGGACCATCCTTGTCTTGATGGGGAGAGTTAGAAGGGCCATTTGGCATACTTGAGAGGGGTTGACTTCTAATCCCATTGGTGCTCAAGTGGCTATTCCCAGGTCTAGGTGGGTTTAGGGTGACAGGCCTATGAGGAGTTCCCGGATGCAATGGGGGATGTCCCAAGGGAGAAGGGTGAGAGTGAGGAAGATGAGGGGAGTGTATGGGTGGAGAGGTGGGATTCTGTGGTGTGGAAGAGGACCCAGGAGAACTGTGTGCTGGTGGGGACCTCCTCAATGGGCTGAAAGAAGGACCAGCCCCTCCAGAGGGTTGAATGAGACTTTCTTCTGAAATTGGAGTGTCTCCTGTTTCCCCTGAGCTTGAACCTCTAGGGGTAGTGTTTTTTGGCACGGACAGAGACACTGAAAGGAACAAAGAAACATTTTATTTTTGAAAGGATGACAAACATGCAACATCAAGTTACTATTGCTAAAACCATCAAAACAGACACATTTAGAAAGAACACAAAGGTTTGGCTTATGTGTGTGACTGCAAATATAAAAAAAAATACTAATGCTGCATCCATTATAGATCAAATGTGAAACATGGAGAACATTGTGCATGACTGTTATATACTCTATGGTTATAGAGTTGTTAGTCTTGGATTTATATGTTTGTTCAATACTCTTTCCAGGTTTATTTGCTTTGGGATAAATAGATTGACTTGATAGATTCATAAATAGATTGATTTGTTTTGGGATAAATAGATTGACACTCATTACAAGCAAATAAATATGTCAAACGATTAATCGCGATTAATCACATCCAAAATAAGTTTTTGTTTGCATAATATATGTGTGTACTGTGTATACCTATTATGTAAATATAAATACACACACATACAGTATATATTTTGAAAATATTTACATGTCTATATTTATATTCATATCATTTATATTATAAATAAATCTATTTAATATAAAAATAACATTTTTCTGAATTATATACATGCATGTGTATTTATATATACAGGTGCATCTCAATAAATTAGAATGCCGTGGAAAAGTTCATTTATTTCAGTAATTCAACTCAAATTCATAATAAATATACACAGTACACAAACATACAGTGCCTTGCGAAAGTATTCATACCCCTTCATTTTTTTCACGTTTTATGTTGCAGCCTTATGTTAAACTGCTTTAAATTACTTTTTTTCCCACATCAGTCTACACTCCATACTCAAAGGTCTGTTTTGTGTTGACAAAGCACAAAACAGGTTTGTAGCAATTTTGCAAATTTATTAGAAATAAAAAACTGAAATGGTTCCATTGCATAATTTCTGAGACACTTGAAATTTAGCTCAGGAGCATTCATATCGCTTGTAGATGTTACTACACTTCGAGTGGAGTTAAACTGTGGCAAATTAATTTGAATGAGTATGATTTGGAAAGGCACACACCTCTCAGAAAAGGTCTGACAGCTGAAAATGCATATCAGAGCAACAACCAAGCCCTGAGGTAAAAAAAAAAACTGCCTGTAGAGCTCAGAAACAGGCTTGTGTCAAGGCACAGATCTGGGGAAGAGTTCAGAAAAAAATCTGCTGCATTGAAGGTTCACAGAAGCATGTAGCCTCCATTATCCATAATGGAAGAAGCTTAGAACAACTAGGGCTCTTCCTAGAGCTGGTCGCCCAGCCAAACTGAGCAATTGATGGAGAAGGGCCTTGGTTATACTATTGACCAAGAAGCTGATGGTCACTCTAGTTGAGCTCCATGATCATATATGCAGATGAGAGAAACTTACAGAAAAACAAACATCACTGCAACAATCCACCGATCTGGGATTTATGGCAGTGCGGCCAAACTCAATCCTCTCCTCAGTGAAGACACATGAAAACCCACTTGGAATTGTGAATGACAGATAATTGCCAAATGCTGATGAGCAAAGCTTGTTGCATCGTACCCCCCAAAAAACTTGAGGCTGTAAAGGTGCTTCAACTAAGTACTGAGTTAAAGGGTTAGTTCACCCCAAAATGAAAATTCTGTCATTAATTGCACCCTCATGTCGTTCCAAACCCGTAAGACCTTCGTTCATCTTCGGAACACAAATTAAGATATTTTTGAAGAAATGTGAGCGCTCTCAGACCCTGCATATAGACAGCAACGCAACTGAAATGGTCCAGACAGAAACGTAGTAAGGACATCGGCAAAACAGTCCATGTGACATCAGTGGCTCAACTTCAGTTTTGCGAAGCCACGAAAATACTTTTTGTGTGCAAAGAAAACAAAAATAAAAAGTAAAAAATACATCAAACTTCAGTTTTGCGAAGCTACGGGAATACATTTTGAGCGCAAATAAAACAAAAATAAAAATGTTTTCAACAATTCTTCTCCTCCGAGTTACGTCTTCCACCATTTTAGAGAGTATCACAACGCATACGCATGCTTTCCCCTAAGCATAAACAAGGCTTATTACGCAGATTACGTTCATGCGCGCTTTCTCCCCTGAACGTAAACAATGATTACGTCGATTACGCTCTTGGGTACTCTCCAAAATGGCGGAAGAGGTAACTCGGGGGAGAAGAATTGTTAAATAAATTATGTTATTTTTGTTTTCTTTGTGCTCAAAATGTATTCTCGTAGCTTCGCAAAACTGAAGTTGAGCCACTGATGTCACATGGACTGTTTTACCGATGTTCTTATTACGTTTCTGTCTGGGAACATTTCAGTTGCGTTGCTGTCTATGGGAGGGTCTGAGAGCTCTCAGATTCCATCAAAAATATCTTAATTTGTGTTCCGAAGATGAACGAAGGTCTTGCGGGTTTGGAACGACATGAGGGTGAGTAATTAATGACAGAATTTTCATTTTGGGGTGAACTAAACCTTTAAGGGTATGAATATTTATGCAATGTACTTATTTAAGCATTTTATTTTTAATAAATTTGCAAAGTTGTCACAAATCAGTTTTTTTTGCTTTGTCATTATGGTGTATGGAGTGTAAATTGATGTGGTGAAAAAAGTAATTTAAAGCAGTTTAGCAGAAGGCTGCAACATAAAAAAAAAAAAAAAAAAATGAAGGGGTGTGAATACTTTTGCAAGGCACTGTATATCATGTAAACAAAAACTTTTATTCTGGATGTGAATAATCGTTTGACAGCACTAGGGAATACTTAAATCAAAGTTTGAGATTCATTGTGTAAAATAACAAAATGTCAATTAACCTCCACCTAACAGCGTCATATATAACTGTTATTCAGAGCTTAACCAATATGGATTTTATGATGGCCAATGCCAATATTTTAGAAAGTCGATAGCAAATATAAAGATGATATCACGCTATTTAAAGATAACTAACATGTAAATAACACATGCATAGCAATTGCTATGCAAACAAACAAATGGAAATAATTTGAAAATTAAAAATAATTTGAACTTGATATAATTAGTACAAATAACTTTTCTTGATTCTGTAATCCAAGTGTATGTATATGTATGTAATATATGTATAAATACATATATGTATAAAATGTCATTCAGTGTAACAATATTTATATACCAAAAAATCTTGTTAGGCATATTTAAAACATCAATAATTTGATGACATATTAAAAGACTCTATTTAAGCATCACAGTGCAGCCCTCAAATATCAATCAACTTAAATTTTTTAATCTTTATACTTTGCTAATGTCCTTCAAACCACTAGGTTTTTCCATTTGCCAGCAAAAAGTTTTTGTAAGGAAGTGAAAGTCATTTAAAATATAATAAAATTTAGTATGCTCACATATTTTTTTGTATTTTAATATGTACAGGTCAGAATAAGTATATCGTTTCATTTTTACATAAATATATCGGTTACGCTGAATGACGATTTGCCAAAAAGAGAGATAATATTGCCATTGTTCCCATAACTGAAATGTTTTTAGTATCAATGTGTCATTAAATTAGTTTTAATAATATTCCTGAGTAAATGACTGCAGAAGCAAATGTTGAAATATAATAAGCATTTTACTGATGCTCTCCTGCTATGAGAAACAATATTGTTGGAATCTCTTTTATATTGTTGGATTTTTTTATTCCAGCTGATGAATGATAAAAGCACTGACAGCCAATCAGAATCCATTCAACTTTAAAGAGCCCCAACATTTAAAATGGTAGACAACGAACCTGCACCACATGCTTAGAACGAACAGTGCTATCGTTCATTGGTGTGGAGGGCGGCTAACATAGTTACTGTTATAGTTATTGTTCTTGGTGTGAACAGGCTTTAAGAGTGCCACCTAAGCTACTGGGTTCACACTTACTTTATTAGCTTTCTACAGTGCCTAGCGTCTCCCTCTGTTCATGGGTGTCTATAATTAATCAATAACACAAATTAAACAATACCAAAATGCATTCAAATATTAATAATTATGAAGTTTAACACATATTTGTCAGTGCTAATCATTCCTCATTTATCTGTAATATCAATAAGATGCTAAAATTTTTATTTATACGGTGATACTGTCATTCAGTGTAATGGATGACACTGTGGTGTAACAGAGAATTTGCATTACACTGAATGACAAAACCATTACCCTGAATGATGAAACTTCTACTTCAGCTAATATTGTAGGCTATCAACTGGCCACCTATTTCAAACAGTGAACTTGACCAGTAAAGAAAATCACAATTATTCACAACATCTACTTATTTAAAAAAAATCTAACAATAAAAGTGTTTTCTGGCATTTCACTGAATGACATGTGTTTTTGTCACCTACCTTACCACACCATGAAAAGATGAAATTATCAAGTATTTTTAAGAGCAATAATCTCACTTTTCTGCAGCACCACACGGTCTTTCAGGAGCCATTTGATGATGTCACAGACTGTCGAATGACTGTTTTTTATTTGATTTCAGAATAACTTCTTATTCTTGTTACACTGAATGATCTCAGTTAAACTGCATTTTCGGGACAAAAGTCTCCTGGTTATTTAAATACTTTTAAAAAACAATAAGACATAGCTCTTTTAATATAACACAGCCAACACTTACTTGAAAATGCCAAGACAACAAATATATTTTTTAACTTGGCATTTTATGTTTATTTAAAGATGTAACGGTAAAATCAAAGTCCGGACGATTACACTGAATGACAATTTGACACTTTGGAACAATATTTCCCCCATATTTTGACATTTTATTGTCTCAAAAGTTATTTGAAATATGAAAGTAGACAATTTACTTGCATTTAAGATGTTTTTTAATGTATTTAAAATGACATTTGTAAATGTAAAAGTCTCGTCTTTGACCCATATATACAGTGTATATATATATATATTTATTTTTTTTTAGAGTGCCTTTCAACCCTCACAATACTCAAATATTTTGGTTTTAATTTCCCATTCTCTTTATGTCATGTCATAAATAGTAGACACTCAAGTACTATAGAAACA